AGTGAGTGGGGCCAAGAAACATCTTTGTGTGTAAATTGGTGACTTAAAGTTCAGCGTGGCCCTGGCCGCGAAGCCCCGTTGGTTAGAGTGTCTGATACACCCAGGCTGTGGTTCGATCCCTGGTCAGGACACGTACGGGAATCGACCAATGGACGCATAACTAAGTGGAGCAACACATCAATGTTTCTCTCTCTCTCTCTCTTTCTTCCTCTCTCTTCCTGTTTCTTCCTCTCTCTAAAATTAGTAAATAAAAATTTAAAGGGTAACAAAAGTGAAAGCGAAGGCCTTTTGGACACTGTGGGTGAGTGTCCACGGTCAGCTAGTGGGCAGGCAGAGGGTCCTTCGGCCTCCTCTGTCTACACTCGCTCCTGGTAATCTCATCCTACCCGTGGCGTTGACTCCCACGTGCACGCTGACACCACCACTCCGGCCTCTCCCCTGGTGCGGACGGTCCGTCCCGCTGCTCCCCGCACTCCGTGTGAACGTGCAATAGGCCTCTCACACCGATGCAGTGCAGACGGGTGTGGGATGAGCCGCTTCAGAAGTGGGCGGGCACTGGGAATGGGGAGGTTGGGGGCTCGCCCCAGCACACGTGGCTGGAGAAAATGCCAGAGAAAGTCGCTGTGCGGCCACGGGCCTCACCCTGCTCCTCATGCTCTGCCTCCAAGGTCGGCAGCTCGAGTTGGTGCGGGCTGAGGCTGCCGAGACGGGCGACGTGGGGCTGGTGGCCGAGAACAGCCGCAGCACCCAGAGGCTCATGCTGCCCCCGCCCGCCCTCACTGCCTCCGGGGTCCTCGCCAAGTTCCGAGACATCGCCCGGCTCACTGGCAGCGCTGTGAGTGGGGGAGCGGCCCTGCCCCCGACCCCCTACCCTGTGCTCTTCGCCTCGGGGACCCAGGGCCAGGCCTGTGGCATGGGGGTGGGGGCTGGATCGCATCAGCTCCGTGAGGGGTGCAGAGCTTCCTCCTCCCCGCTCAAGGCTGCGGGAACCTCCTCCTGAGATCCTGGCACCTGACCTAGTGCCCGCTGTGTGACAGGACTCGGTCATTTGCTGACCAAAGCTGGGGAGGCAAGGAGAGCAGGCCCTTTGCTGAGCATGGGGCTGGGGGAGTGGGGAAGGGGTGCAGCGAGGCGGCTGGGAGGAGGTGGGGTCCTCTCCCCGCCCCCTGGGCCTGACTGCTCTGCCCCCACCTCTTCAGTCCACAGCCAGGAAGATGGACATCATTAAGGGCCTCTTTGTGGCCTGCCGCCACTCAGAAGCCCGATTCATCACCAGGTGAGTGTGTGGGCTGTGAGGCGGAGGGAGGGGGAGACGGGAGGACGGGCAGCTGGAGCCCTGCGGTGCCTGGAGCCCTGAGATGGGAGCAGCATGCGCTGGGGAGGAGCCAGCCTGTGGGGATGGGACACAGGTCCCCTCAGGGGCCAGCTCCTCCTGGGTGGTCCTGCCCGGGGAAGAATCAGGCTCGTGGGTGGAGAGTGCCACGATCGATTAGTGATGTCTGCCTTGGCCTGAGCCCAGCAGTGAGCCTGGGGGCCAGGTGGTTGCCATGACAGGGAAACGCCATTGACATCCTCATTGACATCATGGGTGCTGGGTCCTGGGCCACATGCGCCGTCCCATCAGTGCCTCCTGCAGCTCGCGAGGCGGGCGCTTTCCTCAACCAGATTACATAGGGGAGGGGAGGCACAGGGCAGGTAAGCCCGAGCTCCAGGCCGCTGGCTCAGGTGAAGGCCTGTGCCTGCGACAGGTCCTTGCCCATCACACACTTGTCACCACCGCGGCAGGCTGTGTTCTGGTTCCGGGCTGGCTTTGCCCCTCCTCCTCCCCAGAAAGCCTCACCACTCCCAGATGAGATGAGAAGCTACGACACCTGGGAGGCACGTGGTTCTGCC